AAACTTACAGAAAAGGTGACACAGGACAGACCCCGACAGACCACTGTCAGCTGCCACATGGACATCAGCACACAGAATTGCTGACCAGGAACACTGGAATTCCCTGTTAGTGATGGTCCTGCAACAGAAGCAGGTGTGTCTGTGAGCATGACCAGGTGTGTCTGTGAACAGAGTCAGGGGTGTCTGTGAGCAGGACCAGGTGTCTGTGCGCAGGCTCTGTGGAAGAGTGCACTTACACTAGAATCGGAGACCAGGGATGGTGTGCAGAGTGGGGTAAGGTGGGGGCCGGCAGGACACATGTGTCTGGGAATCTGGACAGGCCACAGGGAAGCCAGAGCTCACCCAGACCCCCGTCCCCCAGTCCTCCACATGCTGCTGGCTTCTGTCACTCTTCCTGGGGGCTGCATGAGCCCCTCCTCTGGCCCCATCTCCCTGGGAACCTCTGGCCTGGAGGTGAGCAGCCTCCCAGAGACCCTCTCTGAGAAATGCCAGCCCCTCCTCCTGCCCACCTGCCCCTGGGCCCCCGCTCTGAGAGGGGGGAGAGCCCACCAGTGTGACCCCAAGTCCCCCAGCACACTCCCAGGCTCTGTCCTGACTCCTGAAACTCCATGTTGGTGTCCTTGAAGGAGCCAGGTCCTGCCAAGCTGGCACCCAGGTGTCCTGCGCTGGCCTCCCCGTGCTGCTGGGGTGCGGTGTGAGTCCAGGCCCCTGAAACAGGGGGAACCAGTGTCCTCCTCGGGGACAACCTGCAGCCACAAACCCAGAAGAGGCAGATATTCTTTGCTAAATAACAGGGCTGGAGTGTCCTGAAGCCTTGGAACCTATAGCGTTCCCTGGAGAATTCCCTATTTGCGTGCAGGGAGAATTCCCTATTTGCGCAGGCCTGTGTGGGGGCTGCTCGCCCCGCCGAGCCCCTCGGCTCCCAGAAGTGCCCGCCCACGAAAGGCAGGATCTTGTTCTGGGTTCTTGCCTTAACCTCTTCCGCTAAAGGCACAGTGCCAGCCCCTCTGGGTGCAGTGGAGTCTGCACGGGACACACTGTGTTGCAAGTGGGATTGAGAACCAGGCTCTGGGCCCCTGAGGGACACCACAGGCCCTGTAGGGGGATAGGGCTCCTGGGGGCGGGCGCATCAGAGGGAAGCTTCTGGAAGCCACTCTGGCTCTCCCTGAGCCCCTGCTCAGTGTCCCTGCTGTTCACTCCCACGTCTCCCGGATCTTGACACCTGGGCCCAGGCCAGCGACAGCTCTAGGTGCTGAAGCCCCGGGGATGGTCGCTGGGCCCACCGACGGGACGCCGGGGCCCAGGGTCCAGACTGAGACCCCATTTCTGTGCCAGAACCCTCGAGGGACCTGGCCACACAAGCGTAAAGCGGGATCCTGCTCAGACCTCATGGGCGGCCAGGAGCGCAGCTGGGGATGGGGGCTGACCCAAGGAAACCAGGAGGAGGCCGTGGGAGGCACCTTACCGGATGCCACCAGGCTCTCAGCGACAACGCGGAGACGGCGAACAAAAGGCGCAGACAGAAGAGAACGACAACAAGAGACACGCTCCTTGCCCCTCTGAGGCTTCCAGGCAGACCCTGTGGGATGCGGCGGGCAGAGGCACCGAGGTCCCCGGGCTGGCCCTTTCCAGAACACTTCATGTGGCTTGCCTCCCTGCTCTCCACCTTCTGAGCCCACCTGGAGGCTCAGGCCCCGGCATCAGGGTCTAGAGGTGCATCGCCCTGGCTGCTGCCCCTGGGGGAACAAAGGCACTCGTGCCCGCTGAGGGCCGCTCCAGGCGGTGAGAGCCTCCCGGGGCCACTCCTCCCCGCTGAGGGCCGCTCCAAGCGGTGAGAGCCTCCCGGGGAGACAAAGCAGGCTTTCTGAGTTGCGCATTCCCGAGAAACACTGGGGCAGCCAGGAATCCCACCCTCCACAGGACACAGCCCCAGTGAGAGAGCTGGCGTGACCTGGGCTGCGTGAGCAGGATACGGCTCAGGTCCCAGATCCCGTAGCCTGAGGCCACCGGCCCCGACAGGTCCCCCGGGGCCAGGCTGTCCAGGCCCTGAGGCCAGGCCATCGTGTGTTCCCAGTCAGAAGACCAAACTGAGTTCTCTCCAATGGAAAAACACGAGCAGAGCACCAAGCTCGTGTCTTGTCTGTGTCCCCGAACATCCCGGGGCCATGGACCTGTCCTGCACTGTCCCGCAGCAAGGTTGCCTTGGGAGCCCCAGCCTCTGACCTGGGGAGCTGCTGCCCAGCTGGTGGGTCAGGCTTAGGGGCAGCCAGCACAGGGGGGCCAGGCTGGACGGGGCTGGGGGGCCGGGAGGGACGGGGCTGGGGGCTGGGCAGCCAGCACAGGGGGGCCAGGACAAGCTGTGTGCTCTCCAAAAGGTGACCTTGTGGGGCAGAAGCCTTTCCGGTAAGGGAGACTGAGGAAGGC